CCTCATAATACTGTCATTCTAAATACAGCCTTATATTAATTATGACTGTGTTAGGCTAGTCTATATTCCTGGTGATTTGTTTCAATCCATAGAGCTTCTACTTAAACTTTAAATTATATCACATCTAAGATTTAAATGGTTGCAAGTATGGCATATATTGCACTATAAGGACCTCAAAAAAATTACCAATTAGCCTACAAAAACATCTAACATTTGAACAGTTAACAATTGTGATCAACATAGCCTTGTTTCTAAAAAATGATAATCAGATGAAGAAACTGAACAGCTTTATACAATAAAGTAGAAGAGCAAATAGGCAGCAAGTTCTCACTGTGAAAATTCTAGGTGAATGCATCTTCTTTAAAAGTCTTGATAGGAGGGAATATAAGCAGTGGCAAACATAGAAGTACCATCATTAAAGATTATCCTGGTTACCCTGAGTCTATAGAGGACTCAGTTTATCTCCTGTCTCTAGTCTCCAAATTCTTAGCCTGGGAATCTTCAGATGAACTTCAGGGTAAGTGAACTCTATCTTTGGCCCTTCATTCAGGAGATGGGCTAGATTGGGATGCACCAAGCTAGATCTGGAAATAGGGAGTAAGAATCTTAGCCAGTGTCAGGGAGGCAGGGACAATAGTACTGCTGTGATAGCAATATGGCTGTGTCACTATGGACATTATCTGCTTTGTGAAGAATTTTGAACTTGTTATAGATTTATTTTTATATGACACCAAACCATAACTCACAGAGTCCCTTTTTGATATATCTTTGGGTCTAAATATATTGAGGATTGTCACAATTGCTTCATAGACGTTGTCTTCAAGTGGCAAGGCATGATCAAGACACACTTATGTCCACTTGATATAATTGAACCAAGCAATTTTTTTCAACATTCCAAATGGCATGCTTTCCCTCCCATGGGGTTAATGAGTAAGTCCATATATCCATCAAGCTATTCAAGATACAAATTAGTAGCAAATCTTGAATCTTGTATAAGTGTTTGCACTTCTACAGGCTGAACAGCTGTCTCTCATGGTTTTTCTTTTTCTAAAATGCTTTACTTTTGCCTGGTCTACAAATTCATCAATTAATTTTCTGAAGTTTTAGTGATACTTTTAGTCATAAAGCACATTATTTTAAGTTAAACTTTTAGTTTAGAAGAAACAAAATTGCTATTTTTAGCCTTTAATTAGTGGATAATTATAAACATATCATTTTTAAGTGTTCAGCTCTGAAGACGTGGAGAACAGCTGATGGCAAAATAATTGAGATGGATACACAGTTCACCGTCAGAGCCAGGGAACTACAATCCATCTATAAATGCATTATGCTGAAAAATATCTCTCAAGATGAGAGGCTGGATGTACTCTTAACTCTTAAACACACTGTGAAGGTATGTTAACTTTCTCTTAGTTTGGGGATAGAGTCCACTATTAATAAAACAACTTAATGGAATACTAAAGCAAAATGTTTTGCATTAAGTATTATTTTGTTATAATTTGGGAAGTATATGGCTTGTGCATTAATATTTACCTAAAAGTTCTCAAAACATATACTATGAA